AGAAATTTTGTAGAAAAATATGTGTCCTCCAACAGGAATCAAACCTGCATTCTACACAGAACTATCATTTGATCTGACGTTCTATACCATTTAGCTACAGAGGAAGTGTTTGGTTAGCAAAGTCCAAATTACTGTTTTTAAATAAATAATCCATTTTATTGTATATATGTTATAAATGTACTTTTTTTTAATGTATAGAAAAACAAATATCATATACAAGTTTTGGTACTACTCATGATTTCAAGCATCCTGGGGGGGGGGGGAGTTATGGAACACATCCCCTCATCACACATATAGATTTCATAAATTTATCGTGCAAAATAACTCAATATAAACATATGTACATTTACATGGTATTTTTTATTTTCGTAATATTTGTTGTACAACAAAATCTAGAAAACATAGCAAATTCTATTAAATCTATTTATTTTAATGAGTGTAGATATAAACATACCTGTAAATGCAATTTTAAATACATGGGTACAGGTTAAAAAAAAACAAAAAAACTACTCATTTGTTCATGTTTTTGTTTATTTTTTTTTCATAAAAAAAATTAAACCAGTGATAATAAAATATTTTTACCTGACCTTATATTTTTTTTTATCTGTTTTTATAAAAACAAAAAGTGTAAAAATTGTGAACAATACCAATAGGCTCTTTAAGGTCATAGTAAACACACAATAGAAAAGGAAATATTAACAGTGACTGCTGAGTTTCATTCCAGCAGAAAATACAAATAAAAAATGTCACAACTGAAATTCTCTCAACCAATGAACATTACAACATAGTATTATTACTACTGGAGGGAGGTGTGTTAAGCCACAAAGTGATCATATTGCCATTAATTGTACTGAAGAGAAGCAGGCATTTAACCCTCTGAACAATTTTTAATCATTTCCTGCTCTAAATTTTACCTGTGTGCGTCTTTTTTTTTTTCCATTTTTGTTTTCTGTGACCTCAAAAAGTCTGTTGATATTGCCTTTTAATATGAGGTAAGGTAAAAAAAAAAAAAAAAACAACAAAAAAATGGTAAATCATAATTAGAACAAAATTTTAAAAAATTTTCTAGAGAAAAAAAAAAAAAATTGAAAAAACCTTTTTTTAGCACATTAATGAATACAAGTACACCCTGCAAATATGTCACCGTCCATAAACATGTTCATGCATGCACACACATATACATACACACCCATACATCCATATATGTGGAACAAAGATAATGAGGAGACCCCACAAGGAAACATTCTGTCTGCTGCTCAGCTGTTGAGCCAATCAGAAGATGAACAATTGGCAGTTGAAGATTGGGCTGACCAATGGGAAGTCAAGACAGCAGGCATGAACAGAGGTAGCAGCAGCAGCAAGAATTTCGTGTCCAAAATACAGATTTACATCTTCCCAAATGTCACCTTACATTGAATGAGTTTTGAGAGTAGAGGAATTTTTATCCTTGCTGTGTTAATGCATTTTTAACCTTTCTTTTTCTTCTTAAACAAAAAAAAACAACATTAATACAGGTAATGTGTATTAAGTCATTTTAAGGTGTTTAAAGTTTTCTAAATTTGTTTGAACAATTGAACTCAATTTTGTTGCTGCTATAAGATGTCACTACAAAGTTTCGGTTAGTAGTTTCTATTACCTTTTTCAGGTTGACAAGACTTAACTTATTGTGTTAGAAATTTTCACCATTAGCAGTTGATTGAAATTTCTGATATAGACACTGAATGAAATCAATCAAATTCCTTTTTTTTTTTTTTTTTTTTTTTTTTTCACCTTTAAAGAAAAAAAAAAAAAAAAGTTGGTAAACAGCTAATATTATCTTTGTTGTTATCATATTTCAGGTAGTATAGGCTTAAACTCGGTGAAAACAAAACAAGTAATAGTAAAAAAAGATATCCTTAGACACAGACAATGGAACAAAAGCAATCTACCCTGGCAGATTAAAGAAAGGGTTCAGTTTTAAGGTTACCCAGATTGAAAGACATCTGAAAAATATACATATTAAAAAACAAAAATGATTAGTTGTTGTGGAGAGCTTACAAGATTAAATTTAAAATTAGTTACAATAATTAAAGTTGCAAATGTGACATAATTATTTGGGGAGACAATTCCAGCATGCAACACCTTTGGAAAGTGTTTGAAAACCTATACTATGAGTTGACCCAAGCCATGTGAATGAAATTGGGTAGATGAAATTATTTGGAGCTGCCAATTTTTGGGCTAGTCACAAGTCATCGTGAGCGAGGGTGTGAACATACTGGCCTTGTTCGGACCGTTGTACACACCAGATAATGCTCTCACTCTCTCTCAGAAACTGTAACTAAGGTCTACTCAGCATAGTTGCAGTATAAACCACAAGTGGGCTTTGTGAATGTTGATGTTAGACACAAGAAACCAAAATTAGACGTCTGCAATAGGGATTATAACAAATAGATTTCATTAGACATGGATGACTGGAAACAATATCACCATATAATTCCTTTCATAGTGCTGGTGTTAATAAAACAGTGCTCAATGTATTATAACAAAGCTATTAACAATACATATTAATAAATAAAACATATTATCCCTCAAATATGACCTATGAATTTTTCATGCTGAAAGTTTTTATTCAGATGTACACCTTTAATTTAAAAAAAATTTGATTATAAAATATATCTGATTATTATTATAATATTGGTGTAGTTAAATATTTATGCTGGAATAATATATTTTAAATTTAAAATTGGCACATTAAAATAAAACAATTTTATATATGTATGTAAAAAAAAAAAGAAATAAAAAAATTATAATTTACTGTTAATATTCATATTTTAAATTTTGAAAATTTTTAATTAAAGGGAGATTTATTGATCTTGCCATAAAATATTAGATAATTTACTGAAAGATACTGTTTATTTAATTTATCCTTTTTTTCGAGCATTAAGGAAATATTTCATATTTTAAAATTTAAAAAAAAAAAGAAAAAAAAAAAGCTATCATAAAACACTTAAATAACCCTAGCTTAGAGAAATGAATTGATGGTTACATGTAGGCATAAAACTAAATATCTGCTTAAATACATTGATCCTGATTAGTTTTTTTATTTTTAATTCTTATTTTTACTTTTTAATGTAAAGCACTATTTAATTATTTATTTATTTGAATTCATAAATGTGTTGGTTGTTTAAATAAGAACAAGTAATCTTCAGATTGCAATTTTAATTCCCTTTGATATAAATTATTTTTGAGAAATTTGTATTCAAGGCATAAAATTTTGATAGACAATAAATTTATAGTATTCATAAAAATCCAGAATCAAACTATAATGTCCTTCAGCTTGAAGGTTTAATTAAAATGGACATTATATTCCATTTCTCGGTTTATCTTTAAATGCATTAATTTAAGTCTAGGAATCATTCTGCCTAGTTGAAATTTTTTAACACCTCACTGGCACATTAACACACACAGAGCTGTACCTCTGAAGTCATTTAATAATTTTATTGGTGATCAAATACTATTACATTCCATAGTCTATCTGATGGTTAGGAAAATTTTACACATTGTATTTCAAACTATATCATTACATAAGCAAATATGTATTCCATAAATGATCTATCAATGTGGACTTTTTCAGGTGGTTTGAACTGCTGCTCTTGGAACTGAAATTTTTCAATTTCTGTGACAAACTATAAACAAACAATATGAAATTTTAGGCAACAGTTAAAATTAAAACCTTTCAATAAACCAGGGTTCCCAAACAAAAAGGTGAATCTCATAGGTGCAGGGAAAGGATACTCAGGTGAGGCAGAATGATTGAAGGACAATCAAAATTTAGAAACAGTTTCAAAAAATTATATGCCAAAAATAAATATGTTTTTAAAATATTATTATAGATTTTTGTAATTGCATGCATCAGTTCCTTTATAAATACTTATAAATAATTATTGACCAATTTTATCATTGTGATATTTTTACATTAAATCAAGTATGAAGAATATAGTAACAAAGGTTTGCAAATTTGTGAAGAGAGTTATCAATGATAATGTTCTGACTTCGAATTCGATTTATCTATTTTGAGTCTTTTCTCTGGACTACTTTTTTGTCAGGGCCTTCCATAACTTTGATTGATTGGCACAAAAAATTTTCATTTTAAAAAATATGGCCCAGAGAAAAAAAAAATATTTGGAAAGCATTTTTTTTTTTTATAAGGCATAAAGGCGCTAACTATTACTCTCCAATTTGATTTTTCCAAATACAATCTTAATGTGAACTAAAATAGAAATAAAAAAAAGAAAAGAAAAAGCCCTGATCACCAAAGTGGATGACAAGTCCTTTTTTTTTTTTTTTACAATTATCACATAAATGCCTTCAATGTAATTCTCAACAATAAATGCTGACTTATTAGTTTACTTGTTACAAAAATTGGAGCAAATCATCTGCTTAACTAGATGAAGTTAAACTTAATCTTCTAAAAAAAAAAAAAAAAAAAAAAAAGAAAAAAAAACAGAGAATTTGAAGTTTTTTTTTCAACATGGTTCCGATTCATTCCTTTCTTAAAAATTCAAGAGGAGTTTAATTTTTGATCTGAAGATTATCTCAATAATTAAAAGCACGGTTCAGATGACATTTTGAAAGTCATATTAACAGTGAAACTAAATTGGTATAAAGAACAAATGACAATATACCACTAGCAAGTCTTAGTATCAAATAGATTTGACATATGAAAGAAAACATCCAAAAGTACTAGCATAATTTGGTGACAAAAGAATTACCTTTAACCTTTGAAAGGTATAAAAACTTTTCAAATTTAAGATCTGACAATGTGATGATAATATCCAGCCACAAATACAATAATTGAACACATTACTATTTTTAACAATATACCAACTCAACCATAGGCAACTAGGATCAGCTGACATACTAAGCAATAAAGAATGTAACTGGATTTTTTTTTGTTTTTCTAACTTGAAAAACAAAGCAAAGACAAAGAAAATAAGATACTTACCATTCCATACCCTCATCTAAACCAAGCCCTGTGATGGCAGAAGTTTTGAATATCTGATGCTTCCAGTAAAAAAAAAAGCATGTAGTCCTAGTGCATTGCTGACTTCACTGACTGTCATGGCTCCTTCAATATCCTGTTTATTTGCAAATATCATCAAAACGGCTTTCTTTAATTCTTCCTCCTGATTAAAGAAAAGAGCAAGATTATTGTTAGTCTATTCTTTGCTGATGAAAAAGAAAACTGTGTTCTTATACATAAACCTAAATAAATTAGCCTATCTTACCACTTATACTAGCATAATTGAAGCAATAGGAAAAAAAAAAAAAAAAGTTAGTGGCCTGTTAACCACCAACTCAATCAATAAATCGAGTAGCATGTGAGGGAGGAGTTCTGGCTATGACGGACCAAAGAGCAGTGAAAAAAGACTTGAAAATGAAATGATTTGTGAAACTTGTGAGGCACCTTGTTACTCCAGGACAGAAAGTTAGACGGTTAGAGAGGGTGAAGATCATCTTGAATAAGTTGGAAAATGATCCTGGAATAGTGTATATATATATATATATATATATATATATATACTTCATTTCAATACTTCATGAGCTTCCGATCCTTATCTATGATTAATTTATGATCATTTATGATTGATTTAATCACAATTCTTCTGGTTCAGAGCTTATTGTAACAATTGGACAATTTTGTTGTTACAACTGGTGTGTGTGTTTGTAAAATAAGATATAGAATCCTGACAAAGTTTTTTTTAAGAAATTTGACAAATGGAAAACGTTTAATTAAAAATCAATTTATGTGTTTTGCCATTCTAGGCTTGATCAGATCCAAAAGCAAAAGAATGAAATGTGTGTATATGTATTTGTGTGTATGCTTAAATAGTGAATCTTAGTACTTTTCACCTAAGCTGGTTTTTCTCATGATTAAAGAAAGAAAATGAGTGACTTTTAAAAAAAAACGTTAATATTTATTCTGTATCTTTTCTTTAGAATTCTTAGTTCATGTCGAAAGTTGTTCACATATTTTCCCAGCTTTTTTGTATCAAGTTAAATGCAAATCCTCATCTCATTTTTAAAATGGCTTGAATGCAAGAAATTCATTTAGTCTTTTCTGAAATTCATCAAAGGCAAATCCTCATGCAATCCTTCAGAATGGATTGAAAGTAAGAGATTTATGCTTTTGTTATATAGGAATAAAGTGTTGCTACCAACACTGGAGTTTGAACACAGATCACCAGTGAGCAAACATGGGTGATTCTATTTCTATTAAATAGACCATGTAATGGCAAAGGAAATGGGAATTAGTGTGGTGTCTAATGGATCACTCTTGCTACTCTACCCTCCGTCACTATATGGATCACTCTGGCTACTCTATCCTCCATTACTATACGGATCACTATTCTCTATACTATTTCTCTATTTGGATCACTATACGGATTACTATTTTTGCGAGTATTATCAAGCAAGTACTATTAGTGTGAGTGTTATTTGAAGGCATCCAACGCCAGTATTGTTCAACAGCGTACTATAGTTCCATCTGCGATTATAAAGTCTCTACAACAACAAGCATTACGGATGTGACAATGAGCATTTGTTGACATCACAAAAGTTTTATCCATGTGTTTTCAGTGTTGACAATATGTTTTTAAAATAGGATACAGAATCCCAACAAAGTTTTTAAGAAATTTGACAAATGGAAAATGTTTCATTGAAAATAGATTTTATTATGCATTTTGCTATTTATTGGCATTATATTTGCATAATACAATTTATATGCATCAAAGGTGGTCTTCAGTGATGCACTGTCCTCATCATGGATTTCAGGTTTTGCATCATCTTGGCTCAAGCAACAACACCAACCTAACTGAACAATTCAGGCCACCTACTAGAAAACGTCATGCTACACATCTTGACATTGCAAAAACAAATTCCAAAATGACTAAGAGTCCAACGGTTCTTATTGACATACATCAGGCAGGGGCAGCCAATGAAAAAAGGCTTTTTCACACTCACCTCCTATATACTGGTGTCTTTTTACATTATCCAGTTTGGATTCAAACTACTTCCCCCAGATTCCTCAGTGAGTAAGCTGGTCTCTTTCTTGCTGTTATACTGGAACATACCTATTCTATTGTTAATAGACTCTCCCACACATAATAAGTAGTAGTAGTAGTAGTAGTAGCAGTCGCCAGGAGGCTCAGTGAGTTGAGTGAGTCAGTCGATGTCGGACATTGAAGTATCAACCACCACAACTTGATTGCTGCGTTATTAACTAATATTTCAAGTTCCTAACGTTTTGTACATCGAACCTAATTTAGGACCGACTTAGTGAAATACAAGCCTCCACTGTGAAAACTACTCTACAACACTTGCATAGTTTAATCCAAATGTTTTATATGTTTTAAATACTAGTCCCATAACAATACTAACTCTTTAACTAAATCTGCACATGTATCCAACACAAATCTATCCTATACTAGCACTTGTTTTCCTCCAAATTAGTCTATCTTACCACTTATAGTAGCATTTAAAAAAAAAAAAAAAAAAAAAAATCTATTCGCTATTCTTACTATCAGATAAATCTTTAAGTCTACATTTACCTTATACTCTTAATCAAACGAAATTCCACAAAAATTCTTATACATGTATGTACATCCATACATCTACATATAAAATGTAGGAAATTTAATAACACACACATGTGCGGACACACATAAATTCTATCCCCTATTTACATTAATTTACTTTTATGAAATCAGCCATTGCAAAATTAACTTGTACTATTTATTTGAAGTTCCTTCTCCATTTCATGATTTATTGACTAAAATAATTCAATGGCCTAATTTAAAAAATAAATAAATAAATAAAAAATAAGCTAACTTGAAATAAACCTAAACAATTAATACTAGTATCGACACAGTATTTTCAAAACTATGATTACTACGATACTACTTTACATCTTTGCCCTCTGAAATTATATTCATAAGAAGTCGGCAATTAGGCAAGGGTATGGAAATAAAAACTGCAAATAAGCCGAAACAAATGGCAATCAGTAATTGAAAAGCAAAAACAAAAAATTCCCATCCATGCCCCCCACCACCATATCCGCCAACAATTCTCAACCCCGATCCAGTTCAACTGCCCTGACTTATATTGTCTCAATATTCCCTTATACCTTGTAACCTCTCCCATCTGTTTCCCTAAGTATGTTTGTAAGGAATTTTTTCCTTCTCCTTTTCTCTCCCTCTCATTGTCCTCATTACTACTTCCATAGCTCTGATCTCTTAAGCCAAATCCACTTGGAAGCAGTGAAAACTGCATTGGTAATGTCCTTCAGTGCTCGCACCCTCGTTGCACCCACTATGCCTATTTTTCCTAGGGCTCTGCACAACAACTGTCCTGCAAAACCCCTGCAACCAACTTCTACTCGGTCATAGTATATTTTCTATGGTTTCCGCCGACATTGTTCAACAAGTTCTTGGTATTTGGACCTCTCTCGTTTGCCAGTGTAATAAATTCCTCCCATGACACAGACAGTTCCCAAATAATGCACTGCTTCGTGTTGTCGGGGTGCAATATCAGATCCGGTCTGAGTGATGTTACGGCCATGTGTCTGGGAACTTCAGCTGGGTCCACCATCAACTGCCAATCATCAGTGGAAGATAATAGGCTCTCTCTCTCTCTCTCTCTCTCTGTATCTTTACTCCAGCTTTGAAGAAGTTAATGATTCAATTTCTTTCCTGGTTGATGCTTTCTAGTCCTTAAAACTTTAGTCACTTCATCTGCAATGGCTTTAAGGGCTTGGTTGTGGCCCCAACGGTACCAACCATCACCCAAAGCTTTTGGGCAACTACAAAGGATGTGTTGTAAATATCCTTTCCTTGCACATAGTTGGCAATTGGGAGTCTCGCTCTTCCCTCATATATGCAGGTTAGTTGGGCTCGGTAGGACATCTTATATCAATTTGGTAAGAAATCTAATCTGGCTAAAATCTGATCACCAGTACTGACCAGGTAATTCTTTTCAATGTTCTCCCACTTCGTCAAGGCTCCCTGCTGATTTAGGCCGACCATTTTACAGTATCAAGCTTCTATACCTGCATTGACTTCATCTTGAGTTGGGATCTTTCTTTGCCTTTGGCAATGTTGGGTTGTGGACCAGGGGAAAAAACCCTAACCCTGCTTTGCCTTTAGCTATTGACCCCAGTATAGCTTTATGCCTAAGTCTCTTCTCTGTCACTCACAACTCTCATTTAGCACTTCATTTCCTGCCAGATCTTGTATAAATTCCAGCTGCTGCCACTTTTGAATCTCTGGATTCTGCATACTGCAGTTGTTCTCTTGTTCTTGTGACTGAAATCTTCCACAAGGCTACTAAAGGGGAGGTGCAATGCATTGCTGTTACCATAGAGAGCTGCACCACTTAAACAACTCGGCAAACCCAGCTACCTCCTCAACTGATTACTAATTGCTCTAATGTTTCCAGTGGTAATTGGAACATCATAAACAAGCAATGGCCACAATATCTGCATTCTGGAAAAGCCATGCCTTGAAAGGTCCTGGCAATCCTGATTTGTTGATCTTGGTCAGCCACTCCTCAAGGTCCTTTATAGTCTGATGAATCACAGCTGTATCCTGACTACTGCTGAAAATCTTGCCCATGCTCTTTTTCTTATTAGTCTCACAAGCCATGGAGAGCAAGTTCAATTCTTGTTGTCATCTGACTTATTTACTGTTTCTCTATTTTTCTATTTAATTAATATTTTTCTCATACTGTCACATTATCGCTCCCTTGTATCTTAGTGATTTTATTGCCTTGTCTCTAAAGAAAGAGTTGAAAGAGAAGAGGAAGAAGAAAGGAAAAGAAAAAGAGGAAAAGAAAAACAGAAGAAAAATCAGAAAAACAGAAGAACACAAGAAAAAAAAAAACAAAAATCAGAAGTAGTAGAAACAAAAAAACAGAAGAAAAAACAAAAACAGAAAAACAGAAAAAAAAGGAAAAAACAAAGAAAAAAAAGAAAAACAGAAAGAAGAAAAAGAAAGACAGAAAAAAAAAAAAAGAAAGATAGAAAAAAAAAAGAAAGATAGAAAAAAAAAAAAAAAAAAAAAAAAAAAAGAAAAACAGAATAAAAAGTACTCCAGAAATGTACTCTTGTTTAATAAATACTATCTCTTCAGAATAGGTTGGTTTGGTGCTGACCTTTTTCTTAAGTTGCTCATTGCAACTAATGAAGGGTGGGGCTAAAATTTGTGTCATACTAATCAAGCAGCAACTCTTAATTCATTTATTTAAAATTGAACATCATAGTTTACTTAAGAAGTAAAAATACAAAGACCAGCTGCAAGAATTCCCAAGAGTTCTAATCCTTTTGCTTTTGTTATTCTTCAGGTAAGAAAACACTAAAATCTCACTAAGATCTAAGAAACTAAGATAAGACATAAGATCGTGCTTATATTATATTTATAGGATTATACTTAAATAAATCTTCTAGAGGCCAATCATCAAACAGGAGAGACTCGTTTGGACTTGTATTTGTACAAGTCCTAATTAGTGATCATAGACACTCGATGCTTAAATAAGCCCTCATGAGAATCAATTATTTATGTTTGCAAAGTGAGATGATGGAAAAACCTGAACATGTACATACACACAGCATGCATTTATTCAAAAAGAGGGAATGTACAAAAATATTGATTATTTTCAATCAATCATTTAATACATCATGTTGTCGTGCCCATCTAATACAACAAACTCTGAAATGTGCACATGCTCACAACTTGATTTTCCAAAATTATGAATTATAAGCTTACATTCATGACAAACTGATTCCTCTATAATGGTCATATGCAGTAAAATAATATTTGTAAATGAATTTTATTCTAATATCAGCTGTTCATATAACCAGTAATTTCAAGGAGTTTCTTTTATGAACTACGTCCCTTCAGAATATGTATGATTAAGGCTCTCCACAACTTTCTACATAGCTCTGATTTATGAAACAAATCAGATCCATTGCAATTCTAATGATTAATGGCTACTTGTTTCTGAGCACACTTATCTGCTAGGTTGGCTAGCCAAAATCCATTAAAGCCAATGCCTACTATGTTGTTTACATTGCAACTATTTTGAGCTGACCTTAGTTACAGTGCATAATCTGGCAAGACAAATTCTTTTGAACAGGGACATTATGCTCAACCCTTGGTGATTTGTGTGTGAGCAGAGCTACTGACTGCCTCTGAAGAGTCCTGTATACCCAATTTCATTCACAAGGCAAAGGTTAGGCTGTATTATGGCTTTCAGGTAATTTTCAAAATATTGGGACTTCCAGTGCAAATGCGAATCAATATAGCAGTCTGCTTTTCTGAGAGAAAACAGATGCTGTGTTTGGCTCTTGCTTAAACTTTTGAATTTCAAAAATATTTTAGTACATTTTGATTTGTGGGAAAATTGCTGCATTTGGTTTTCATTTGGAACAAATCAAAAACTTTCCCTCCAAATTCTGAGAAGCAAATCTGGAACTTATCTTGGTGAATAAAAGCAGAAGCAGAATTGAAGTGGAGGAGTTGATGAACTGCTGCTGCATGAACCCAGGTCAGCCTGGTCAAGGAAAAAAACAACACAGAAGAAATTTGATGACCACCAGACAAGAATTGGAAGGAACATCAAAGTAGCTCCCACATCAAGGATAATTCTTCTGCTGGTGTGATTGTTCAGTTCTTTGCTGCTACCATATACATTTCTTTGAAAATTGTACCTATTCTTTGAAAACTATTCAGAGAAGTATTTTATTTTTATTGTAAAAGTGGTATGTGGTATATTTTATTTGCAGTGATTATTTCTAGTTTTCCTTTTGTCATATATATATATTTTATACACACACACACACACACACAAGCTTAAAAGTTGGCATATCAGGTGGCATTTAAGCTAGCTCTTGTGGTGGCCTTTTGATTGGGCCTTTGGCTCATTCGGGAGTTTGAGAGTCGCTAAGTCTTTGTGTATTCTCAGCATTGGAAACCATTTGATCTGTTTTTTCTTTTCCTCACTGCAGCCTTGGCTTTTTTGATTGCAATCTAATCTTCTGTTGGTAGAGATTTCTGTTTGCAAGGCATACTGTTGCTGCATGCAATAGGCATCAACAAACTACGGAAGAACTCAAAATTGATCACTGCATTTAAGTATTGCATTAATATTTTAAAGATCACCTTTTAAAAGTTCAACAATAATTCTTCTACTGCCACTTAATTTACAGGCAATTTGAGGTAGGTAGGTCTTTACTTTTCATACAAACAATTATTTTTATTTCATGGGTGACTCTCGCTGGATTTCATAATTAATTTCAATTATTCCCAAATTTATTTTGAAGTTATAAAAATTGTTATTGTACAAAAAATTTAGCTACAAGAGAAAAAGAAAATCAATGAAACAATTGCAGTTATGAAAACTTGGATATCAAAAACTTCAAGATTGCAAGTCTGGATCTGGATCTGGCTTAGAATGTTTTTAATTTGCTCATGGAGATGGCTTGATTCCAAAATGATATGTAGGGCTATGGGCTCTAGGAGTAAATTTGAAAGAGTTGACATAACATTTATTTAGAATTTATTTATATAAGACATGAAATTGAATTCATAAAATGAGTGAATTATAGTGAAAAAGGAGAAAAAAAAAAAGACAAAATAAATCATTGACATAATTTTTGACAATGAACATGTATCTCCATTAGTTTTCCAAAAATGCTGGCAAATTGATATTGTTGACACTGTCCACTCAAAATTTGACACATGTTAACATTATCCTCGTTTGAATCAGTTTGTCACTATTAATGTCAGAAATGCTGGTATCCAATTCATCTTGCATTTCTAATTATTTTTTTCCTCAGATTCTAGAATAACTTAGGTTCTATGTCCCTCAAATGAGCACGCAGAATCACTTGACTCCATTTCATCATGATTGATTTCTCGTCATCAGAAAAAGATGAAAAAAAGTTTGTAAAACTTATTTTCTTCACTAATCAAACAACAGTAGCACATGGTCAAAGTCTCACAGTTTGTGCGAAATCTTGTGTTATTTGCCATGATCTGGTCATATATGATGGCAGAGTATACGTGGGGCGGATTATAGTGGATTGAACATGGAGAGCTGATATTTACAAGGACAGGTTTGAGTGTGCTAGTCTCCTTATCTTAATAGCAACATTATCATTTATGATTTAGTTGTACAATACTCATTATATTAGAAAATGTAACCATCAGAAAAGCAGAGACAAACTTGTACCATTCTAAGTTTTCTATTTTGATGTTGTGACAATTAAAATTTACTTTACTAAATTAACATTGCTTACAATTGTTTTTCTGTCTTTTGTAATTTTATGTTTAAAATTATATCATGTCTACTGATTAGACTGGATTTACTGAATGTAATATGCTATATTTGTTGGTCAAAGGGGAGGAAGTAACAGTTGATATCCCTCGATATCCACTTAAAATGAGAGATCACTTACCTCTAACATAGACATTAATTCTCGTTTTGATATTTCAATTCTTTCTCTATCCATGCTGTCAACAACAAAAATAACAGCATCTGTATTGGAATAGTAGCATCTCCAGTATGGCCTGTAAAATATAAAATTAGAGTTTGCTTCATAAATTTTCTAAAGTAATTTACAGTTTTATACATTTTTTTCAAAAAACAAAAAACTAACAAAAGTGACAAAAAACTAACAAAAGTGACAAAAAACTAAACAGAAAAAACAATTATCTTCAATTTTGAACAACAATACTGTTTTTTTGTTAGCAAATTTTTCCAAAAAAATATTTATTTATATATTTTTTTAATTTTTTAAAAAAAAGCAAGGCAGTAATGCCACTAAAACTAATGGGAGCAAAAGAGAATAAAAAGACTTTAGAAGGAACTGGAAACCCAATCCTAAACAGAGAATGGGGGATAAATCGTTACTCCTGTTCAAAAGACCGGTGAGCAGTGTGAACTGGATGATAGATGAACCTATCTACTGTTATAACTTCTCTGCTCAGCTATCATTCTTTAACTTTGTAATGTTCTTGCTATAAGAAGGATAAAGTTTAAATAGGATTAGTGGTTAAATTTTTTATTTTACTGCTAGGAAAGTTGGTTCCCTGTGCATGCTAGATGTAATTGAATTGTCAGAATAGTCTTTTATTGTTTTTAACTTTGAATAATTTGCCACATTTGGCCTTTTGTTGTCATTATATATTTACAGATTCTTGATAAAATCCAAACAAGAATCTGCAATATTATTGCTCTTGACCTAGCATTCCAGCTTCAGTCACTTTCCCATTGCTGTAACATAGCTTCCCTGTGTCTTTTCTATAAATACGTTTATGGTAATTGTTCTGATGAACTTTCCTCTATGGGTTCTTTGAGGGTTTCATTTTTGAAAGTTGTTATTTTTATCCCCCACCCCACAGACAAACTGTACATATGGAAACTAGTTAGGACTTCATAGAAACTTTGAGATATTATTGTGGCTGCAGTAAGAATGTGTTGCTTTAATGTAAGGAATACTTTGGTATGTTTGGGTCAGTAATTGTAGCTAGCTAAGTGTAAGATAAGAATTGATTGAAGACCAGCCTTCCCCTATCTTCCCTTTTGGCCTTATGCCACAGTTTTGTATTTTCAAAATAAATATTACTTTTCTCTATTGTAACAAGACTTTATGAATTTAAGTGCAGTACTAGATAGGCAGCAAGGTATTGTCATTTTACAGTTGAAATGGTTAGATGTAACCTTAAGTTCTATGCTAACAGTTTTTTCTATTGCACTTCTTGCTTGTGAAACTCTTCTGGTTTCTTGCTTTCCAGTAAACTTTGGTCTTCAAAATTTAAAGGCAATGTCAATAGTTATCTTCTGTCTTAATTTTTGTTCTTTTATTGTCCTCTTTAATTGTTTTTTTTTTCTCACATTCTCTAACACTCAGTAACCCCTTGCATCTTAGTGGCTTTATTGCCTTGCTTGGGGTGAAATGAATAAAAAAAAATAATAAAGAAGTCATGTTCTATACACACATGCAAAAATAAATAAAAAAGAGCATATGTATAAGTAAAATTTATCTATCATAGAAACAGTGCAAACGTTTTTGCAACAGAGATCTCATGAAAATCAGAATTGGTTTGGTTAGATTTTGTTTAATGGAGTATCAATCCTGGTAGATCATTTTATATATATATTACATATACACATATACTTTTAATTTTATTTACAATTTTAAAAATATGTAATGGAGTATCATTGAATGGTAGATCATTTTATATATATATTAAATATACATAATATGGGATTTTTTGAATTTAAAACTCTTTTAAACCATATGTTGGAGGAGCTCATTTAAAAAAAAAAAAAAAAAGAAAAAAAAAGTAAATTTATGATAAAAATATAGAAAAAACCCATATATCCAAAAAATGCAGAAAACAAGAAGAGTTAATTGTTGGTGATCAAAAATTAAATCAAGCTATTTCATGGATAATAAACATGCTTAGTATGTGATTAGTATTAATTTTGTTCTCTTTTTTAAGAAAATTTGGTTTTTTTGATTACTTAAGAATCCATTATTAATCTTTAATACAGATTCATTGTAAAATCTTTATTCCCCAATTTAACAAAATTGGAATTTCTTTAAAAAGTATTCATAAATTTTTTTATTTTAATTCAGTAATGAAATGGACCTTTGTATTGAGAACCAAAAAAGTTAAAAAAAAGATCTGTTTTTCAATTGACACTGCTATTATTTTAACTACCTTCATTCTTTATCAGCAATGTTTATTGAAAAAAATGATGATTAGAATTGTAAAATAAAAACCTAAACGACCAATTGAAAGTGAATTTATAATTTTTCTTTGTTCTTGAGAATTGAAAACAAAAATAATAAAAACTATGTTTTTATTTACACTATTTTTATGTTATTGTTTATTGGAATGGTTGGTAAAACATCTTTAATTGCCAATTAATTCAAACTTTATTAAATAAAAAAAATAATAAGATTTTCCTTATCGAAATAAAAATATTTTAATAATTTAGTAAATGTTTATAAATATATGAATAAAATATTTTTTTCATATTTATTTCTTTATAAATTGGTAAAAAGATAAATATTGCATTGCATTAGTTTTAATTATATTACTTTTTAGAATGTTGTAAAAATAAAATTATTCTTTTAAATAAACAATCTAATTAATAAATACCATTTAATATTTTTGTTGTAAATTCTCAAAAACAAAATATGTATAAATTCAACTTTTTCATATTTTAGATTTTAGAAATTCTTTTTTAAAACAAAAAGACATTGCCAAAAAAAGTGAAAGTTTTTAAAATAAAAGTGGTGTCATTGGAAATCCTCATTAACTTTTGGTGTCTGTTTTTAAAATAAAGGCATAAAGGTTCATATTTGTTAACAATTCATTAATATCAAGTGCTTACCTTATACTGGTCTGTCCACCAAGATCCCAAAATTTAAAATTTTAAAAATTTTTATATTGAACAGTTTCAACATTGAAACCAATAGCTAGAAAATGAAACAAAAGCAGATAAATTATATTGATTACCACAAATAATGCAAATCAAAAACTATTTTTTTCTTTTCAAATACATTCTAAAATTTTAAGGAAATAAAATAATGCTCAGAAAAAAAAAAAAAAAAAAAAACAACAAAACAACAGTAATGAGCACAATGTAAGGCGAACTTTCTGATCTCATTACAACTAATGAAAAGAATTTCCTGGTATTTTTCTATTTAATCAAGATTTTTATTAATTAATTATTAATAAATAATACCAAAATTTCATTAGCATGATGCCACTCTAGACATTCCTTTTAATTTGAACCATCATGAACCAATGAAAAAAAATATTAAATACACTATTTATATTTGAAATATTGGCCTCATCTTTGTTGTTTTTATCACAATGTTTCAATTGTTGGACCATGCGGCACCTCTTCAGGTGCATATCGATCTACAGGGAAAAACCAAACTAAACCTTTTATTTAATCTACAGGAGTAGACTTTTCTCATTCTAGTTTTTATTTTTATTTAGCACTGTTCAGTTATTGCATGCCCATTTCTACTGCAAGTACTCACTGCCCGACCCAGGGATTGAACTCACAACCACTATGTTACCAAATTCACAAACCAATGTTTTTACCCAGGACAATTTGTTGGATTAAAACTTTAAACCTAACCGTCACTGCTGATTAGTCTGCCTCTTCTTATTATTGTCATGTTGAAATGATGATAAAATGATTTTTTAATCACTGATGCTGAAGTGGCTGAAGACTTGCTGTCATTTGTCTTTATTTATCTGCAGCTCCCTATTAATGACATCCTCATAGCCGAGTATATGTGCTGATTCTTTCAGATGTCTAACTCTCCAGTGTTTTTACCTGTCCAATATTTTCACTTCATTCCACAGGGGCTGACAAATTTTTACCCAGTTTTCGAAATACCCGATCAGCCATGCCTAATTTTTTTGCCTTACCCTTCCTTTAAAACCTTTTTGACATTCCTCAGTTTTATCAAATTTTATGGTTTGAAAAAACCTTTATATTCTCCACCACAATTGCAAGGAATACATGCAATTCTTGGTCATATTGTCCCCCATGTTAGGCTTTGCTCAGCAGAGATTTCTGCATAGAATGGAACAGCTTCTGGATATTGTCCTGATGTTGTATGGCCTGCAAATATTCTGAATCTTTTCCGAATAAGATATTGATGTAAGGTCAACAGACTGTGGTCATCCTTCTTGTTCCTTCTGTTCCCACTTGCTGACGCTGATGCCATGTTTGCTGGGTAGGGTATGCTTGATGCTGATCATTTCTTGTTGGTATGGTCTGGGTCACCACTTATGATTTTTGTCCAGTGTTGTAGGCATCGAAGGATCACCTTCACACTCTATGGATGGTGGGAATTGAAATTGAGGTATTGTTCAGTGAAGGTTAGCTTGTGATAGATGGATATTTTGAACCCATTCTCTGTGCAAGTTATTAGTACATCCAGGAAGGCTAACTGATTATTAGTTTCTTCTTCCATTGTGAACTGGACTGAAGGTCTTACCAAGTTCACATGACCCAGCAGTATTTGTGCATCTTCTTGTCATGGCCAGATTATTAAGGTGTCATCCACATCTCTCTGCTATACTGTTGGTTTTGGTGGTGCTATTTGTAAAACCATTCCCTCAAAGTAATCCATGAATATGTTTGCCATTTTTGATGACAGAAAGACTCTAAAATATTTCAATCACCTTCCTGTTGCAATAGAAAAACTAATTGAAGATTTTACACAGAATATCAATATTTCCATCAGATTATCTGGAATATACATATGTTCTGCCAGAGATGGATTCAATTCCAATTGGTTTCAAAACCACTGTCAGGGCCTTATCTGTAGGAATGCTGGTAAACAGGCTTATCCAAGCTTACCATCCGATTGTTCTGTCTGGGAGGATCAATTTTATTAAGCATTCCAAGTTTCTAACATAGGATGAAGACTTCCCTGTTAATGGGTTGACTATATCCACTAGGAATCTGCTCAGCAGGTGGAATGCTGAACCCATGCAGCTAAACTATTGGTCTCAATGGAATACCAAATTTGTGAATCTTGCAGATACCATACATGTATGGCAGCTTGGTGTAATGTTGAGTCAGCTGTCTATATTTATTTAGTGTGAATTATTCCTTGTTCTTATTTAGGATCTGTGATTGTTTTTAGGGTCAGATCCTTTTTCACTTTGCTACAGGTGCCATCCCCAATTTGGTTTGTCAATTTTTTGGAGTATTCCAATTTTTCCATCACCACCAAAGTATTGCTTTTGTCAGCTGGCAGTATGATGATACTAGTATCACTCTGTAAGGTCATGATTACCAAACTTTCTTCTCTTTTGATGTTTGATTTAGGCAGTTTGACCTTTTCTAATGCTTGTCTCAATTTCCATCTTAGCTCATCTGCCTGGGCCTCTGGAATCTTCAAAGAAATCTGTTCTGCTGGGGCTATCATGACCAAATATGGAACTATCCTAGTAGATAAAAATGTTGGTTTGTGAATTTAGTTACATAGTGGTTGTGAGTTCAATCCTTTGGTCAGGCTGTGTGTACTTTCACTTGATGAAAACAGGCAAGCAATAATTGTGTAAAATAGAAATAAGAACTAGATGATATCCCCAGACATGAGCAGTAAAACGGGAACAGTCTATGCCCGTAGATTAAATAAAGGGCTCAATTCAGAATTCCCTGTAGGTTACCCAGATCAATATACACCTGAAGAAGACTAGAGGACACAACAGTTGAAACATGATAAAAACAACAAAGATAAGGTACAATAGTCCAAGTATAAATAGCATAAATAATGATAACTCCTCATTACAGAAATTCACACAAAGAAAAATTAAAGAAGACATTAGTTATTATTTTAACTAAAAGGAGGTTATTGAAGACATTCATTGAAGAAAGGAATTGTGCCAGATATTTTGTGTCTGGTTTTTGATAAAATAAAATAGTATATGAAACACTGTATTGATTAAACTATCAATGAACAAAAGAAAGAGAGGCTAAGCTGGGCAAACAAGACTACAACAGACATAAAAAAAAATACACAAAATAGTAATCTATTCCAAACAGGAAACAAAAAAAATAAAGATAGAAACCATATACATTTAATATTTCATTTATTTTCATTAAAAAATAAAAGAATAAATAAAAAAAATAAAAGAATAAATAAAAAAAATAAAAGAATAAATAAAAAAAATAAAAGAATAAATAAAAAAAATAAAAGAATAAATAAAAAAAATAAAAGAATAAAAATAAAAAAAAAAAAATAAAAAAAAAATAAAAAATAAATAAAAAATAAAAAAAAAAAAAAAAAAAAAAATATAAATCTTTGTACTTCGAGTTAACGTTAATAGGAACTGAAAAACATTATTTAGGTAAGAAAATCAGGTACTGAAAATTGTAATTAAAAATAGGAAAATTTGAGCTGGGTACTATATACCCATGGCTAGTATTCTAGGATTAAGTACTGAACTGAATTCTCAGAACAGAATTATGGTCATTAATAGCCTTGCCATCTGAGTAGTTCAATATAGTTTCAACACCTTGAACTAGACTCTAAATGATATGATTCTAAGACATGAAAGCTTCTTTCTAAATATTCATCATCCAAATGCTGATGCAGACCGTTTGTACATACCCCCCATAAAGAGATCTTATTCGGCTAGAATTGTCATACAAGACAACAACTATTGGCTTACTAACATATATGGAAACTACAAAGGACTGGATGATACAATTAATCAAACATGAAAACAGAAAGAAAAAAATATTCAATCATGAAAGAAGGTTGTAAATACAAACAAGATTTATATTTAGTAGATTCTGTAGAAAACCAAAACAGAATCCAAGAACCAAATTTTGCAGCAAAAAATATGAAAAATAAAAACCAAAGATAAAGCTCTTGAACAGATGAAACCAATGCTAACAAGACAAATCTCTACATGGCCAATATCCAGAACGAGGCTAATAAAGCCGATGTTGGTATAAAGTTAACACTCATCGATAGTTACGAATATCTGGATTAAAGGTCTGAAATTGAAGGCTTTATTCTTGCAGTGCAAGACCAGAGGTTTTTCACTAGAAATTTTCAAAAAATATCATACATAATAGTGTAGATACAAAATGCAGGTTCTGTGACAATATCAGGAAACCATAGACCATCTAATCTCAGGATGTTCTGTACTTGCGCCAAATGAATATAAAATATTTACACTGGACAATGTACTAACACTTTGGAAAAGATGTTAATAAACATTGGTATGAACATCACCAGTTACAGAGATAGAAGATATTACAATTATATGAGATTACATCATTTTTACAGACAGTAAGATTGAAGCAAATAGGCCAGACATAAATGTCAAAAACTGAAAAGAAAAAAAATTTGCCTACTAATTGATATGGCCTATTGATATGACTAACATAGCAACCAAGGAATTTGAAAAACTATCGAAGTATAAAGACCTGGAAATCGAAATAGAAAAGTGTGGAAATTGTAAATAAGAGTAGTACCAGTCACAGTAGGTGCACTTGGAATGATAAAAAAATGGAATGTAACAACACACTGAACAAATCCCTTGAAATCCTAGCTTAAAATAAATACAAAAAATTTTCTTGATAAGTACAACCCATACACTGTGAAGAACATTGTCCATGTAACACTAGTGATGTTATGGGAGTTAGAAAAACAAATCATGAAATGTAGCCATAATAACACACCATTAGCTGCCTTAAGTCTTCCCACAGAGTTGGTAGGTAGTGTGACTATAGCAGAAATAGTAATATAGTGATAATAATAAAGATGTATTAAATATGAAACTAATTTCTCACCTATTTGTGCTATCTGTTCACTAAATGCATCCAATAAGCAAATAAATGTACAAATAATGTGTACCTATATAATTGTTATTTATTCTATCATTGTGAAAATCGTGTTAGTGTGAGGTGGGCAACAATTATACAGCC